GAACGTCGGAATACATGGTCCTCATCGATTCCTTCACGAAGTGGCACCACCACTACTACAGAGGTGGAGCAACGACCTCATGCTGCATCAGAGATCTCACATTCACCTGGCAAATGCTGTACGTCCGTGGCCCTGTCCACCTCTCCATCGGAATTGCCAATAACAAGACCACCATCACCATCACCATCATCATCATCATCAACATCGTCATCACTCACGCCGTCGACCTCACCTGTACAGGAAGGGGTCGAGGGTTATTACAGGAAGAAGGATGAGGAGAAGGAGGAACGAGGGGAGGATACGTCTATGTTGAAGATGGAGGAAAGGAAGGTAGTTATGCTTATGTATCGATACGCCATAACATGCCTAGTAATCTATTTAGCTATTCCTCGGGGGCCTGCCTTCGAACTGTGATAAGCAAGAGCTCAAGGACTATTTCTCCCAATTCGGGGAGATTGAGGATTCCATAGTCATGATGGATCGCGTCACTGGTCGATCGCGTGGCTTCGGCTTTATAACATTCCTACATCCCCAAGATATGGAGGTAGTAGTGGTCGTATTGATTAGAGTGGTAACCTATGCATTCGTTAACTTTGATGATGTTCACTCGTGATTTATTGATGATAAGCAAGATGATATTGTTATTGGTATACCACAATATTCCTACCTCATAGGCCTGCCTTGATGATTCACCCCATGTGGTGATGGATAAGACCATAGACGTTAAGCGAGCTGTAGAAGGCGGCCTTGGACCACGTATTACACGTCATGAGGGTATAACAATTAAGAAGATGGCGTATGAATGGTAGTATCAGGTCCCATGAAGGATGCTGCTTGGAGTGAAAACAACTACATGGGCTATCACTATAATAGGGGGGTCGTTGCTGGGCCTGGAGGCGGGTATAGGGCTTATACTGGAGGCAAGGGTGGTGGGGGCTCCTCCTCATCATCATCATACACGCTACCTTATCGGGTACCTGATGATCCTAAGAAGGTCTTTATTGGCGGTTTGCCACCTTGTGCTGATAACAGTAATAACGACATCTATCTAAAGACCATACCCTGGCCACTTTTCAGACAGTTTGACTCGTATGCTCTCACAATACGGCAGTGTAGTGAGTTGTAATGTTATGTTCGATAGAGGCACTGGACGTAACCGTGGCTTTGGTTATGCTACCTTTTCAACTCCTCGTGAGGCTAATGATGCTTGTCATGGTGGTGACAATAACGTTATGGATGGCAAATGGGTAACTTGATTGACGATCATCATCATCATCATCATCATCAGTATTGTGATGGCCTCTAGACGGCTTGGATTTTGTACATTCCTCTTCCGTATTCACCTCAGGTTGAAGTAAAGCCGTGTACTCGGCTCGAGTTCCCCACTACTGAGGGTGCTGCTGCTGCTGCAGCTAATGTCCCCAAATCGCCCTCCAGCAGTGCAATGTATGGGGGCCAGCAGAGAGGGGAGGGCTACCGAGCAGAGCAGCAATGGAGACAGAAGGAGAAGTCAGCAATGGTATCATCCTTTTTGTCGTCGTATATTGGTCTTTGTAGGCTCCTTCTCCCTGACGACCCGTGCAAAGTCTTCCTAGGAGGCCTTCCACAGTCAGCTGACCAGAGTAACCACTGCTACTACTATCCTCATCATCATCCCTCCTATGAGCTGCTGCTGCTGCTGCTGTTCAGGTCGTGTTACAGAGCATTTATCCCAGTATGGCCATGTACAGGAGGTCACTGTTATGTATGATAGGGAAACTGGCAGGCATAGAGGCTTTGCCTATGCAACGTTCTCGAACAATGATGAGGCAATGGCCGCCATCAATGGCAATAATGTTATACACGGCAAACTGGTAATAAGGCTCATTGATCTCGTCAACTATTCAAGCTTGCTTCTTATCAACTTCTGGTGTGCCTATAGTTGGCATCCTCCATGTATATAAGCTATGACTGGTTTATAGGGGCTCGTTAGGTACAAGTGAAGCCTTCCTCTCGTAGTATGGAGCATGTTGGCGGCAATGCTTTACAACATCCTCCTACTACTATTACTACCAGT